ATAAGCACGCGACGAGATGTTCCGTAGTGTCACTGGAAGCGACGGCGATGATGGAGTATGTAGATGATGAGAGGTAGAGTGAGAGGCGCAATGGAGATGAAGGATGAAGGATGGGTGTGGAAGGTAAGAAGAAAAGAAGAGGGCGGATGGGGTTCAAGTATGAAGGAGTCGAGGTAAGGGAGCAGTGTGAGGGTGCGTGGGAATGGCTGGCGCGAGAAAGTGAGATGGAGGAGGGACGGTCTGGAGGGCGCCAGAGCGGTCTTGTAAGCTGCGCGCAAGTCCCGTGAGAGGCTGGCGGCGATGCGGTGAGGAGCGGCAGAATGTAGCGTAAAGTGGTCCGGCTAGCAGCGTCCAGGGCAGGTCAGGCGTGCATTGGCCGGCTGACGAGGTTTGGCGACCCCGACATGCGCCAAGAGCTGTGTGTAAGGCCGGCCCGACTCGCTGCCGGTGGAACTTGCCGGGTCTTCCTGGCTCAGCGCTCAGCTGAACTTCAGGCTCGCTGACTCAGCCATCTGTGGCGCCGCGGCCCTGTGGCCCTGTGGCTGGGCGTCGGCCTCAGATAATCCGCGCCGGCATAGTGGCGGTTGCGACGCGGTTTTTGGTAGCAAAAGTTAGCGGAGGAGCTGCAAGGCACCAGACGCAAGATACCCCACGCAACTCTAGTCACGAGCCCCTTCTTCTTCCCTGTACTGCTCCCCAGTCTATTCCTTCAAAATGCAGGCGCCAGTGGTGGTTATGAGTAGGTTACCAAAACATTGGAAGTCCTGACAGCCCACTAACACAACACCAGACACGCAGACCCCAGGTGGGGAGCGGCAGTTCGGCCGCAAAGCCCAGCTTTCCAACATCACAGCAGCCAAGACGGTCGCAGACATCATCCGGTCATGTCTCGGTCCCAAGGCTATGCTGAAAATGCTGCTCGACCCCATGGGTGGCATTGTCCTGACCAACGACGGCCATGCCATCCTCCGAGAGATCGAAGTCGCACACCCCGCAGCCAAGAGCATGATCGAGCTCAGCAGGACACAAGATGAAGAGGTCGGAGACGGCACAACCACTGTCATTATATTGGGTGCGTAGGAATTGCGGCCATGTCAATGCAGAAAGCTGACAGCAAACAGCTGGAGAGATCCTTGCACAAGCTCTGCCACAGCTCGAGCGCAACATCCATCCCGTTGTGATTATTCAAGCATTCAAAAAGGCACTCGCCGACGCCCTCGAGATCATCAACGAAATTGCCGTCGAGGTCGACACCGACGACGATGAGCAAATGTTCAAGATCATCAACTCGTCAATCGGTACAAAGTTTGTTTCACGGTGGTCCAAGTTGATGTGCAGTCTTGCCCTCAAGGCCGTCCGCACCGTCTCTCTTGATATTGGTGCTGGCAAGAAGGAGGTCGACATCAAGCGTTATGCTCGTATCGAGAAGATTCCTGGCGGCGAGATTGAGGACAGCGTGGTATTGGACGGAGTCATGGTAAACAAGGACATCACACACCCAAAGATGAGGCGGAGAATCGAAAACCCTCGCGTTTTGCTGTTGGACTGCACACTGGAGTACAAGAAGGGTGAGAGTCAGACCAATATTGAGGTCAGCAAAGAGGAGGACTGGAACAGGATACTGCAAATCGAGGAGGAACAGGTCAAGGCCATGTGCGATGCCATCATTGCTCTCAAGCCTGATCTCGTCATCACTGAGAAGGGCGTCAGTGGTATGTTATCTTGCACGCACCTTCCTATTTACTGCTTACTAACTTGGGCCAGACCTTGCACAGCACTACCTTGTCAAGGCCAACATCACTGCCATCCGCCGCGTTCGTAAGACAGACAACAACCGTATTGCTCGTGCAACAGGTGCAACAATTGTCAACTCCGTCTTCTCTGCTGCTGCCTCAGATATCGGTACTGAGTGCGGTCTGTTCGAAATTTCCAAGATTGGTGACGAATACTTCACCTTCCTCACAAAGTGCAAGAACCCTAAGGCCTGCACCATCATGCTCAGAGGTCCTTCGAAAGACATTCTCAACGAGATTGAACGGAATCTACACGATGCCATGGGAGTCACCAGGAACGTGATATGGAACCCCAAGCTCTGTCCAGGTGGTGGTGCGACCGAGATGGCTATTGCCGTTGGTCTGGACAGAAGAGCAAAGCTTGTCGAGGGTGTTGCGCAGTGGCCATACAAGGCGGTTGCTGAAGCCATGGAGGTCATTCCCCGTACACTGATTCAGAACTCTGGAAACAGCCCAATCAAGGTACTCACACAACTGCGCGCAAAGCACGCAGAAGACTATGAAGATGGCAGGCACGGTGGAAGCTCTTGGGGTATTGACGGCGATGCCGGCAAGGTTGTCGACATGCACACGTACAACGTGTGGGAACCTCTAGCCGTCAAGGAGCAGAGCATCAAGACCGCTGTCGAGAGCGCCTGTATGCTGTTGAGGGTAGACGACATTGTCGCTGCGAAATCAGCGAAGCAAGTCAGTGGCCCAATAGGCGGTGGAGACGACTAAATGTGCCTTCGTTGTATACTGGCTTCGCAAGACTCGACGACATTCAATTCAGGAACACTGATACAAAAATGAATCAAATCACAATGACGCCGCCAAAGTCAACTTCCCCATGCCTAGTTTTGTAATAGATATGATAGGTTCTAATTCGTGCCTCGAGGAATGAACTAATAAAAGGTACGTCAATCGCTGCAGTGCAGTTGACAGGCTTTGCAAACGTGGAGCTAGGATTGGCGAGGAGGGCCCTGTTCCTAAAGTAGCACAGCTATCTTCATGTCATCGTCCAATCGCATCTCCGAATGCCTAGCGTGCCCCCTCTCCCTGTACCACACACGCCCATTCCAATCAAAACGTCAGGCACCCCAGATTGTCTCACTCACGCAGACGACGCTCGTATCGGCGGGTCCGCTTCATACCACAGCACCTTGTCTTTCCCGAACGGCCGTATCAAAGTGGCTTTGGCATATACCGCTACACAGTACGTTTTTTTGCTAAGCCTCTGCACGGTGGGAATAAGCCTCGTTCGAAGCAACACGGGTGGTTCCAGTGCTAAGGCGAGCTGCCAAACTGCTGCTCTTTGCCCAACTCGGTATGCTACGCGATGCGATTCAGCGGGGTTGGAGGCCTCGGTGGGTAGCCTTGTGGTGGCTAAACCGCAGAACCGAGTTAGTGATCTACCTTTGTTGAATTTGAAAGACGATGAGAAGTAGTATATAGGCTTTGGGTGCGAAATGTGAAGTAGGTTTCTGTATCTTGTTCAGCATTATAGCATTTAACTCTCGAAACATCTTTTCATCTTCTTGTGTATTCACGCTTTCCCGTTTTTCTCTTTCGATATTATGGCATCAACCAACCCTATGGATATCCTGATGCTCGCGGCTCGGAGCCACTTGGAGCGGCGAGGCAAGGAGCATGTCTGCCCAGAAGAAAACACAGAAGGCCCTGAGATTCGGTATTTCGTTGGCGAACTCACATTTCACCGATTTGCGACTATTCTTGCCGGCGGCTGCGCGATCCTCAGTACCGTTATCATTGCCGTGTTGATTGGACTACACGCTTTCAACTACTCGAATCCGGTGCAACAACGTCAAGTTATTCGAATCGTTTCGCTCATTCCTTGGGTTGCTATATTCTCTTTCCTCATCGTATGGCAAGACGGCATAGGAGAATATCTGGCGCACTCGCTTGATTTTGGGTGTGCGATGGCGTTGTCGTCGTTTTTGCTCTTCATGTGCGATCTTGTGCTTGCACATCCAGGGGGTTACGAGTCGTTGTTTGGTGAGGATGCGAGGGCTAAAGGGGAGCTTAAAGCTCAGAGTCCGGCTTGGTTGAGGGTTAGACATCGTCCTATTGCTTACGGTTTATTGAATACCATCTGACAATTAACAGAAAACTTGGTACGGTGTGCTCCAGTTCATCCCTACTAGTATTATCCTGTGGGTTGCAACTGCCATCTCTTTGGCTGCTGGTACATACTGCAAGCAGTCCAACAGTGTGCACTTTGCCCATATCTGGATCACGGTGTTGAATGCGTACACCACTGTCGTCGCTATTATATGCTCGCTTCGATTCTACAAGAAGAACAAGACGTTGTTGCAGAAGCACAGCATTCTCCTCAAACTTGCTACGTTCAAGGGAGTTCTCGGTCTCAACTTTCTCCAATCGGTATGAAACCGCTATTCATTGAGTGTATCTGGTGCAAACGTACTAACGCAGTTGTCAGTTCATCATTTCCATTCTTGCTGGTAAGGGCGTACTCAAACCTACCGAGTACATGACCTTCCACGATGTGAACACCGGACTCGCTTCACTCATCCTCGCTTGCGAAATGCCTATCTTCGCTATCCTCCTCGTTTTCGCTTTCTCCCCGCGCCCATACAAGGCCCAAGGTGGGCCTGCAGCAGGCCCTTTGAATGCAATCGTCGATGCAATCAATATTACTGATTTGCTATCGGCATTCTACCGCGGACCTATGAGGCTGGTCAGGGATCAACAGCGACAGATTCTAAGGCAGGATAGTATGAGGATACAAGCGGTACCCCAGAATGTTTAGAAGAAGAAGATATTTGTGTGGAGTGATGTCGTCCATGATATAGTAGAAAGTGTAGAGAGGGAGGATTGTTTTGTGAATTACTTTGATGTTGCTACGATAATACCCTATCATGAATTTTTGTCATTTGTACTTGGAATTTTTCCAAGCTGAATCGTTACTCATCACAGAGTTCTCTTCACTTTTCTCACAAACCCTGCATATACCGGGTCAACTTGAAGACGGTTTTAGTATTTATCCCAAATTTCTTCCGACGTTCCGATCCCTATGATGGAGTTTTCAGGTTTTAGTGCAGAAGAAGCTGTCTTAAACTCCTCTTATTTGACTGCTGCATCAATTCTGAGCTAAACTGCTGTTTCTAGTCACTTCAGAAAACCGCCGTATATTTAATACACTCAATAGATATGTTTATACTAACAAGCTATGCTATAAGCCTAGCACTAGCTGCCAGCTTCATCCTCTGGCTTGCTTGTCTCCTTGGGTATGGGTTCCCGGGTATCGTCTGATTCCTCCATGAACCATTCATCCTCAAAGATCTCCTCCACCATCGGCCTTTCCCGAGGGTCTAGTTTTAAGATCCGCCTGATAAACTTGTTATCAGCAGAAGGAATTTCCTTTGTTGACCACCGTTGAAGCGGCTTCCGTGGAATTCTTTGCCCACTAAAGAAGATGACGAGCTCAAGAGCGACCAAATTGAGGATTTCGGCAACCGATTTTTGGAATGGGCCGGACGAGTGATACATTCGCTGCATGACTATCAGGTCATATTCCCGGTCTTCTAGTTTGACTCCCTGCCTGCCAGGATCGAAGTAGTGAAAATCACCACCATGTACCAGGCTAAGGATCTAAGAATATGTAAGTTAAACGAAACAAAGGGCACCTGAATTTTCTCATACGTACTGCATTTCCGAATGACCAGACGTCTGTTGGTAGGTCTCAAGAAATCCCTAACATGGCTTCTGGGCTACGAGTGAAGGCACCTCCGATAAGATTCCCCTCAGCGAACTTTGAGTCTTTAGAGACAGCGCCTCCACAGTTGCCAAGTTGAGTTTCCAAGAACCGCTACTCGTTTTGGCCGTATTTAACAAAGATATTGTCCAATTTGACGTCCGAAAGATGTGTAAGAATCTGGAGAATTTGGATACGATAAGAATGATGTGTAATACCTGTATGAACCATACCATCCCTGTGGAGAACGAGTAGGGCTTCAAGAATACACCTAGCTACTTGCTTAGTCTCGGGGCGTGTTGGCCGCTTATTCGTCGATTCCGTAAGGAGTTCACTGTCTAGATGCCTCAAAATGATAGAGGGTGGATCAGCTGGACTTATGACCTCATCGATGATAGGGCGAAGAAACGGCGTCTTTGATTGGTAACGCCCCAGGATGTCGGCTTCATTCTGTAGGCACCAGTGGCCGCGAACGCTCTTGACAATACAATCGTTTTGGTGTTGATCCCCACAGTCCGCAAGAAGATTAAAAGAGGTCCATGGTCATGTTGAGAAAGCGCATCGATCAAATTGACCTCTTACCTGGCCACATATACGGCAGCCTCGTCCAAAGCTCTGTGTACCTCTTTCACAGTGATGTATATTGATTTGTGTCCTCTCAGAACCTGATCGACCTTGAATAACGGTGGCATTGAAATATGTCCAGGAATCTAGCGGGTGACTAGGTCCAGGATGTCTTGATGCGTGAACATGTTGGATCGACGGTGATTTTGGTTCTGGTAACAAAGCTGGATCACGCGGTTAGCTTATTCACCAGCTATCCATCTCCCAGCAAGCCTAACCGCAACGCTAGTCTGGCCCCTCCTTGTCAAAGCTCTATACTCCAATATGTATCAGAAACGTAAACCAAAAGTGCTTAATCGAGCAGGCCTTTGATTCTTACTATTGTCCGTTAATAATTACTCTCAGGCTCGTACGGCTTAGATTCAGTAAAGCCTTCCGTATCCTCTTCACATACTGTAGCGTGTTGCCCAGGTACTAAAGTAACTTCATCACTGTAATCAAATGCCTGTACCCTGTGAATACTCTTCCTATTACGTGATTTGAGCTGAGTTTGTCTCCATCAGGTGACGTACTTCCCATCACTCTTTCCTTCCCCGTGACTGGGAGCGCTGACCACGCCTACAAACACCATCCCTCAGAGACATGTATTTTTACAGCTTTTCCCACCACATTGCTGCTGCTGCTTCTTAATCCCACTTCAGGAGCCTGCGATTTAACGACAGCCCTTATATTCAACTAAGTAACGACATTTTTATATCAAGATAGCAGCACTAGTAAGAGGTTCTGGTACCAACAATATGGTGTAAGTGAAACGTGTGTTAGTGTAATGAACTATGCTGATGAAGAACAGAACGTCGGCGCCAAATTATCATTCAACACCCGGTAATCTCCCTCCATAAATTTGGGGACATGTACTTAGTTTTGTCGACGATGAGTTCACACTTTGGGTCACCTGTCGCCAGGTTTCACACGTCTTCCGAGCAGAGGCAGAACGCGAGTTTGCTTTGACGCGGCTACCACAACTAAGCTTCTCTTCGTCGGCTTGGTCCGAATTGTCTAATACGGAACATACGCGTTGCTACCGCTGCAAAATCGTTACGGAAAGTTTTCAGTATTTTCTTCAAGATGGCCAAGAAGCCAAATTCAAGATCAGAATTTTCTCCTGTCTTTGCGATGTAAACAACAACGGCAGACCGACCGCCGGGAACTATTCAGAAAACCACAGTAGTTTAAGGGAGACGGTTATCGGTCTACTGGGATATCGAGTTCCTAGCGATAAGTTGCCACAATTCGAGCGTCATATTCATAGAGTGGAGCTTGGGTATTATTTCGACGACACACCCCTCGAGTACACGAGTCTGGACTTCGACAAACTTACGCTATCTTTCCAATAGAAGCCTTTCACGAACGACTTTTTCAAGAACATCTCATATGTTCAAAAGCTCACCAAGATCACGATACCTACCGGTTGTCTTGCAAAACAGTCCCTTGACCAACTTTTCGAGAAAATCGTTGTTAATCCGGCGTCCAAAAGAAAGATGCTGGACGATTGGGTTTTGGATTATGGGCACGAGGAAAAACTTTCTTTCTATGAAGCATATGCTCATCGTTTGCGCCACACGTATCCAGAGTGCATGGTAAAAACTGTATTTTTGTTGCATCCTGGAACAATAAGAATCCAGAAAGTATGCAAGACTATAGAGGCATCGTTCAGGAAATTGAGGCAGCTCCTAACGCACCGCCCGGATCCAAACATCCCGAATCCAAAACACGCTGATGCACTCCTTGAGGAACTATTTGATTATCCCGGCATGCCTCGTCCAAGAGGAATGAAGAATTTTATAAGCACCGATGTAATCAGCGTGATCGAACGGAACAGGTGGCACCGGAACTCGAAGATAGAGAGAGAGATTATAAATGAAAGCACAACGTCATGTGAAGGCTATAGTATATGGAAGGATGAGCTCAGAGAATTATGGTAACAGTGGATATGACAACACGCCGCGGTAATTGGGTGTCCACATGTCGGGAAGAACTAAGACGGCCACAATGACGACAAAGACGAGGAATGCTGGAGAGTTGAGAAAGCGCTAGCGAACAGTACGACCTGGTTCCTCCTCAACAGTGCAAGACGGTCATCTGGAAACACCCACGCTCCTGAATGCTAACTTTCTAGACTTTAGGCGAAAAAGACAATCTTAGAGACTCATTTGTAACATTTGATGGATTAAACAACGGGATTGCGAGACAGGTGGTAGTACTAGAGCGAAACATGGGATTAGAAATGGAATTCTTTTGCAAAACTTTTGTTGACTAATACTCATACTCTACTGTCAATTTTTCCCTTCGTGATATTTTTTTTCATAAGCACATCCTGAGAAAAATCCAACACAAATACAATCTGAGCATAACCATCTCCACACCCATCCACACCCAAACACCCCAAACGCAAAGAGAAGGAGAAGTAGGAGATTAGAGAGAAAAAAAAGATCTTGAATTGAACATCTGATATTTGAAAATATACACCAGCCATCACACCCCCTCCCTAAACCCCATCTTTCATACATATAAATTCTCCCTATACGCAACCCCCACTTCTGGTCCCATCTTCCCTCCAAAACAAAACAAATCGAACAGCAGTAGCAATGGGCAATAGGCAATGGGTGACTAACCAAAAGTGTGCATTTTCTTTTTCTTCAAAGGAAGCAAGAAAAAACCTGGCCGAACAGCGAATGTGCTCTGCATACATATATACCACTGTTCGATTTAAGAAAGAGAGTCAAATTTATTGGACCTCGTTGTTCCACCGCCGGGGTTGGGCTGGGAGACCATTTGCAGAGGGGCCCCTGCTTCCGGGTCTGCTGTTGGAGCCGTCTACGGAGGGAGCGGGCCGCATGGGTAGGTTCATGACGTTGTTGCTGCTGGAGGATCGGCTGGGGTATGAGGGGCGGCGGGGTGCTTCAGCGTCACCGTTGGCGACTCTTTGCCTTGGGTCGCTGGATTCGCGCTTGTGAGGAGGTGAGCGCTCGCGCAGCTTCTCTTTGATGGTTGCGGCCGGGGCAGCGGGGGCGAGGTGCGATTTGCGTTTGTTGTGCTCGATCATGGAAATGGCCCAGGCTTCTAGGTCGACGGGAGTGCGTTTTGCGGCTTGGAGGAAGGCGTCGTGATCCTGGTGTTGTTAGTGTTTACTGTTGTATGTGGTAAATGATGGACTTACGTATAGTTCCTTGGGCGTAGGTCGCTCCGCTGGATCCTTCATCAAACACTTGGCAATCATGTCTTCCAGAATTGAAGGGAAGGCGTCGCTCTTGGGAAGCTTGGGCGAAGGCTCCAAGACAATCTGTTGCAAAAGGTCGAGAATACCCTGGGGACCCCCGGCCTCGTCGTCGTCGCCGCTTCCAGCAAATGGAAACTTGCCAATAGCCAACTCCATGAGCGTAAGACCAACACTCCACACGTCTGATTTGACAGTGTAGGGCGATCCCTGTATCCGCTCTGGTGCCATGTACGTGCCAGTTCCTACGAACGTCTCGGCGATGGATCCTTCCAGTTCACTTGATACACCGAAATCGCATAGCTTGATATTGCCCTTTGAGTTTACGAGAATGTTTGACGGCTTAAGATCGCGGTGCATGATGCGATGTGCGCTGTATAGGTAGGCGAGACCGCCGAGCACAGCTTCTGAGATCTTTCCGAGTACGTCGACTCGAACCGGTCCAAATGTTCGGGAGACCCAATCGAGCGAGCTGTCGTTGCTAGTCAGCACCTGCTAAGTTCACTCCGCGGATAGAAATTTGCCTACCCCACGTCCATGTATTCCATGCACATTATGACATCGCCCGATGAATTTTGGAAAGCGCCGTAAAAGTCGACAATGTAATCTGAGTTGCAGTCATGCATAATGCGGAGTTCTCGTACAATTCGTTTCCGGACCTCGTTCTTTGCCTCGACATGTATGACCTACCCTTGTTAGCTTGTTTCATTCTTTGTTTTGATGTACCCCGCCTGGTCGTCCGACTCACCTTTCTCGCCATTATGACCTTGGTGGCAGCGTGCTGCACCTTGCTGACCGTTCCTCCGTTTCCTGAGCCCAGTTCCCGCAGCACTATCAAATCCTCTGCCTTGAGGTCTAGCTGGAATTCAACGCCGATTTCTAGCGTGTCCTGCTTCTCGTCGTTGGCGCGGGCACCGGGTATTTGGGCATCACCAGACGAAGGTGCTGGCTTGGGTGGTGGAGCGCTGAGGGCGAGACCCTTGACATTCTTCCTCTTCATCGTCTTTCCTTTGAAATTTGGTTCTGCCATGTTGTAGGTTTGCGCCGGGCGCCGGTGTGATGCGAAGGCGGGTAGAAAGGATGCAACGATTGCGAAGCTCGGGATATATGGTCAGAAAGGATGTATCTCGCAGGACAAGAGCCCAAGTGTTGGCTTTTGTTTCGGGTTTGCCGCCCAAAGCTGTGTCGACAGTGGTACGCCAATCACGGCTATGGCTGAAAGGAGGACAGCGTCTATTGGATTCCCCCTTCGGGTACGGGTGAGCAACAGTTTGCACGGGCAAGGCTGTGCAGGGATTGATTGGGAGGTTGGTGTTTTATGCAAAGCACGATGTCTCGGAGGAAGGTTGGCAGCTGGGGAAGTCAGGAGAGAGGGTTGTGGTCGTGTCAGTGTTCGAGCTAGCGGGGCGCGCGCAGGTGGGGGCAGATGGAGCGGCGTTCCAAACTGGTTCTGCAAGGCTGCAGCTGGTGCGATGCGATAGTCGGGCAACTTGGAGACTTGGAGAGAGCTGGTGCTGGGGGGCAAGAAGCGGGCGACACTTTTGACTCGGCCAGGGCTACGTCTCTGATATATAGAGGCTGACAAGACATACACGATGCATCGCTCAGGAGGTTTCAGAGTCGCATGGTTGCTCGTGGCGATGCTTCACCTGCTGCTAGTGCACATCGTCTTTCAAACACGCCTCACGAACACGAGTGGTGTATCGGAACGTAGCATACAATGAATGGCCATGACGGCTACGGACGAGTAAACGCACCAACAGCGTGCTTGCAATCGGCCATGTCTCCAGCTATCCGGCCAGCAGCATTCAAGTGTGTCTGAACATCACTTTGAGGCGGGGACTAGCCAGATGGGGGCAATGCCTTGCCCGACCCAATTTGCTGTGTGTGTAGAGAATGCTGGCACTGCATGATGAGGAAGCATACATTCAAAGCACTATGAAGGGTGCATGATGGGATGGTGGTTTTCGGATACACGTGTGGCTGCGGCATGCACAGCCAAGGATGGCGCATCTTGTTTGGTAGCCTTTCCGCCTCCTAAGCGCGAATATCACGTGCACAGCGTCAGTGCGGCTGAAAGTTAACGCGGCCGATGGGTCGCGAGCCTCTGAGAGCCTACATCTGCCTTTCCTCTCTCCTTTACCTCGATTGCGCCCGACTTTCCCTTCCGCCTGGTCGCCACAGTCGCCTAATCCCATTACCGCCAAGCGCTCGTCGAATCCCCCAAAAGAGCGCCGTCGAAGCCAATCTCACAACTCACGCGTTCCCTTTGTTTAGTTAGCCATGTCTGAATTCTTCGACACAATCGCCGACGTCGGTAGCGACGAGGAGGAGGATGAGGACTTTGATGGCGAGACTGGTGAGGGTGGCGAGCCCAGGCCCAGCAAGACAAATGGCACAGCCGGCATCGACGACTCCAGCGAGGAGGAAGACGACGATGATGAGGACCGACTGCGACAGGCAAGCTCCGCCATGGCAAGCTGTGTCTTCAGGAATGCTGACAGATGAACAGGAAGGCGAAGGCTTCATCGCCGATGACGACGACGAAGAGGAGGAGGAGGAAGTGGCAGAGCGCCGGCGCCGGCGCAAGAAGAAGAGAAAGAACCGCGAGGCCGAAGAGGCTCTCGACGACGAAGATCTTGACCTGATCGGCGTCGAGGTAGAACGCCCGGCCGAAGAACAGGTAAGTCATACCCTACTAAGGCCTGGACATGACTGACATTGGCCAAGTCGAGATTCAAGCGCCTCAAGCGTGGTCACAAGGAGCGCGTCAAGTCCCGGGGTGTCGACGACATCTTTTCCGACGACGAGGTCAACGAAGACTACGATGAGCCGCGGGCCCGGTTGGGCGACGAATTTGACGACTTCATCGAGGACGACAAGTTTGAAGACGAAATCGAAGATGACCGCGACGTCACGCAGCCAGGCATAAATCTAATTACCAAGGGGCTGCAAGCTGCTGGACTCGATGAGGGTGCCGAGGAAGACTACAGAGCTGCATTCGGTGATGGCACAGATTACGACTGGGCGTTGGAAATGCAAGAAGCCGAAGAGGACGAGCAAGCTGGCGATGGTCGCGAACTGCAACTCAAGGACGTTTTCGAACCATCACAACTGCAGGAGCGCATGTTGACAGATGAAGACAATACTATCCGCGAAACCGACATTCCCGAGCGCCTGCAATTAGCCCGAAAGCCCTTCAAGGAGATTGAACTCACACCGGAGGACATGCAGGCACGTCTGACCGAGGAGGCAACCTGGATCAGTAATATGCTGTGGCCCAAGAAGGGTCTTCCAAGATACTTTTTGCAGCCTTTCGAGAAGGCTGTACGAAAGGTTCTCGAGTTTATCAACCTGGAGGATTATGAAGTTCCCTTTATCTTCAACCACCGAAAAGACTACCTCATTCATGCGCCGAGCGACAACGATTTTGATGACATAGACAATCCGCCACCCATGGATGCTCGGCCAGAGCGTCTGCTCAACCAGGCCGACTTGTGGGAGGTCTTCGATTTCGACCTTAAGTTCAGGGCTTTTGCTGAGAAGCGTGATGCTCTCAGGCAGAATTACGAAAACCTGAAGAGCATCTACCCTGAAATTAACGACACTGAGATTGAGGAGTTGTCTTCCAGGGCCATTACCATTGAAGAAATCCAAGAGCTCCAGGACTATCTGCATTATCGATACTCACAGGAGATCAACGAGGTTCGACAAGAAGTCAATGGAACACAGAAGCGTGCCAACAACGCCCGAAGCTTCTTCGACAAGCTGCGAGGCAGCAAGGCCAATCAACTTGTCAAGGCAATTGGCATCACACCCGAAGACTTTGCGAAGAAGGTTGATGGAACGAGCAGAGGCGCGTATACCATTGAAGATCCTCCGTACAAGGTCGAAGAGCTCGCCGATCAGCTTGCCGAAGCTCCAGAAACGGGCGCTACTCTTTTGAGGTCCACAAAGCTACTGTTTGTCCAAGACTTACAAATGTGCTCGCGGCTGCGGCGATACTTGCGTGGTAGCTTCTACCAGAATGCCGAAATTGACTGCATTCGCACCGACAAGGGCATGCGGAAGATTACTGAGGACCATCCCTACTACGAGTTCAAATATCTGCGCAGAGTCACCTTTTCGGATCTCCAAGGTCGCCCAGATCTGTTTTTGAAGATGCTCAAGGCTGAATCCGAAGGCCTTGTGCAAGTCAAGATTTCCATGGGCAACTACGCACAATTCAAGGCTCGTTTGCAAGAGAAGATCGTCTCTGACGGTGTCAGCGAGGTTTCCGATACGTGGAATGCCCTCCGCAAGGAGCTACTCAACGTCGCACTTGACAAGCTTCAGACCGTCATTGCAAACGGTGTCAAGGAAACTCTGCGTGCCAGGTGTGAGGATGAGCTTGCGGCTTCAGCGAGAGAGAACTACTATAACAAGCTTGATCAGGCACCCTACAAGTTGAAGAGTGCCCCTCTTGGCTCAATCCCCAACGTCCTCTGCTTGTCCAACGGCAAGGGTCAGCGTGGAGACGCCATCATGTGGGCTTACGTGGAGAACGACGGTCGTGTCCTAGAGCAGGGTCGACTAGTCGAGATGCGTCTTGGCAATGCTGAACGCGGTATCCCTGAAGGACAAGACATCGAAAAGCTGGTCGATGTCATCCAGCGCCGACGCCCAGATGTCATTGGTGTCAGTGGCTTTTCGGTTGAAACACGCAAGCTGTACAAGGATATTCAGGAAATCATCAGTCAACGAGGCTTGACTGGCCCTGCCTATGAGGATGAGGATACTGGTGACGAAAGAAACGAGCCTCTGGAGGTCATCATGGTCAACGACGAAGTTGCCCGTTTGTACCACACCAGTGCCAGGGCGGCTGCGGAGTTCCCCAAGTACCCTGCGCTCACAAGGTACTGCATTGCCTTGGGAAGATATCTGCAAAACCCACTCGCCGAGTACGCATCGCTCGGTCGCGACATTGTTTCTATTCCTTTCATTCCGAACCAGACTTTGATACCCCAGGAGAAGCTTTTGGACCGACTAGACACTGCCATGGTCGACATGGTCAACCTCGTTGGTATCGACTTGCCAGAGACCTATGACGACAAGTATTTGTCAAAACTAATACCATATGTGTGCGGTTTGGGACCTCGTAAGGCCGACAGGCTGATCAAGGCCATCCAAGCGAATAGCGACGAGATTCTTTCAAGATTTGATCTTCTTGGTGTATCCGAGTCGCGCGACCTCAAGGCGGCTATGGGCCCCAAGGTCTTCCAAAACTGCGCCAGTTTCTTGTATATTCCTTACGACCCGACTGAAGAGTCATCTGATTACCTAGACTACACGCGTGTACATCCCGAAGACTACGATCTGGCACGCAAAATGGTCGCTGATGCACTGAACATGGACGAGGAGGATGTCAAGGCAGAGACTGACGAGGGCGGTCCTAGTGCCGTTGTCAGAAAGATGGTACGGGAAGAAACTACTGACCTTGTCAACGACCTGGCTCTGGAAGACTACGCTGCCGAGATTGAAAGGAACTTTGGACAGCGCAAGCGTGCCACGCTTGAGACGATCCGAGCCGAACTGGACAACCCTTACGAGGAAATTCGACAAATCTTTGCGCTGCTGTCTGGTGACGAAATGTTTACCATGCTCACTGGTGAGACGAAGGAGTCTCTCTACGAAGGCATGGTTGTTCCTGTTACCATCAAGCGCGCATTCCCAGACCACATTGAAGTCAAACTCGAGTGTGGAATCGAAGGTGGTGTGTCAGAATCAGAGTTCCCAGAAGGCGTTGGCAGCGGCGGACAGGAGCCTCGTCACGTCTACTCAAGTCACCAGATTGTGCGCGCGCGTATCGTCTATCTCAACCGCAAAGCCCTTACTGCACAGTTGTCACTTCGAGATGATCTCATCCGACAACCGCAAAAGAAGCCTTATGACCGTGCAGCTGGGGAGTGGGACGAAGCGCAAGAAATGCAGGACAAGAAGGCAGCCGAGAAGGAGAAGGAGGTTGCATCTGGCCGACCCAACCGTGTCGTC